AATCATGACTGTGTTGTACAACTGTAGCATTGCAGCTTACGTGATTTTGGATTCATGTGTGGTGTGCACCCCAACCACTGTGGTCTGTAACCAGTTTTGGGCTCAGTGAAGTGAGGCCTATAGTAGATAGCTGAATGAAATAATAATTCTGTTCACGACAGCCATGACATATATACATATATACATACATACGTACATACATATTTCTTAATCATGAGGAAAGGGAAAGGAAGTGGCTAATATTGTAAGGTCCCTATACCAATCTGAGGTATGGACTTCTATTGCCATACCTCAAAAAAAAAAAAGAAAAAAAAGATAACAATAGAGCTTAAAAATGTGAAAAACAGATCAGTCTTTTCTAATCCAATAGAGCAAAAAGTGGGGGGGGGGATGGGATTAGATCCCATGAGAAAGCATCTTCTGTCCTATTGATATGATTGTCCATGACAGATGTCATTGGCAGCATAGCACACACAACAGATGAACTTTATGGAGTCCTCATGAAATGACAGCCCCCTTCTAGTGTTCTCCTCAGCCTGAGTCAGGAGCTAGTGAACAGCCATTAAGACGAGCAGAAATTGATACACAGTCCCCTGTAAATGTGTCCAATCCCTATTATAACCTTCTAAATGGGTGGCCATCACCACATCTAATGGTCCCAAATTCCACAGTTTAATTGTGCATTGCATCATATAGCGCTTTCTTGCACTGGCCCTGAATCTCTCTGTACTTACAATGGTTTTGACTCTCCCTGCAGTTAGTAAGTCTGCAACTAGGGTCCTACATGTGGCACCCATACCCTTTGCCCACCTACACTTCACTTAGAACCCACCAGCATAAGCTTCCATGGATTTTGTCAAAATAGCAACATATGCATTTTGCAACACGAGCCCTACCTCTTATCTACCATGTACAAAAGGGGTGAAGCTAGGATAATAGTGTCACCATGCAATGTCATTTCCCTGTCTTGTGTCTCTCTCGCCCCCTCATAGTTTAGCTGAAAAAAAATGTGAAGCTGTGAAGGCAGCAAGCTGCAAAGCTTTGGCCTCAAGCATCCCGTAAAATTCCTTGGAAAATGAAAAAGGATGGGCCTACTTCTTTGGCTGGAAACATGTAGGGAAGGGACAAAGTTCCCAAGCAGAGATGCTATAAAAATGAGCCGTAGTTGTAGGGAATAGAAGGGGTGGTATGTAGCATTCTGCAAAATCAGTATTTTGTCACTGGCTGTGTCCCCTTCTCTGCCCTCAGCAGCCATTTCATCAACGGACAAGCCATCTTACCAAAGCGTCCCCATGTTCTCAAAATCCCCACTGGGTTGGGGACTCCCTGCCTACCCGTTTTTATTTGCACAACAAAGATGGCATGCATATCATATAATAATCATTTTGTGGTGTTGGTTCCTTTTGGGGGAGGGGTGTCTTTACTGGTAGTTCATCTTAAACAACTATTTTCCCACAGTGTTTTCAACACTTCACTGCTAAACCACGGAATAATAGAGGCGCTTTCCATCTATCTTCGACAACAGCCTCTCTGAACCACACAGAAGCCCGTCTAGCGATCTGAGTCGCGCAAAGGTGAGCGTGGAAGGGGGGGGGGCAACGTCGGAGCATTCTGCACGTGGGCAGAGGCCCCGTTTCTTTGGTCTCCGCTTGCAGCCGCCCCGGAACAAACTACTTGATGGCGCCCAAGGACGAGGCGAGCTGGACCGTGCTCCCCACCGATGGGGGACGGCCAGCGGGGCTCGATTCCGGCTCCACCTCTCTGGCGGGCGCTGGGGCAGCTCCGCCGCCTCTCCGGTTCCTCCCCGACCTCCCCACACCGCGTGCCTCTGACGCGCCGATCCCTTTCGCCCAGTGAGCTCCCCCAGCAGTTGCCACTCAAAGGACGGGCAGGCGGGCGCGAAGCAGCAGCTGCTCCGGGCCCCTTGCAGCGGAAACAGCCACCACCCTGCACAGCGTCCGTCCTCCCCGGCTCGGGAGGCACCTGCACGGCCGCCCGGAGCGCCTAGCGTAGAAGCCAA